GATTACAAGCCTCACACAGACACCTTGACCATTAATTGGCACAGGATCCAGTTGGCCAAAGTGATCCTTGCCTAGTGATTTCTAGACAACACAGTGTACGCAGGACTGTAGCTATGAGTTAATGGTATGTGATGGTATTACTAATCAGAGCATTTCTAGGATCCCGCTTTCAGAATGGCATTGTTCAATGACCCAGTAAGTAAGTGTGTTAGTGCATTCTGTGTTCTGTATCAGACATAAAGGCCACGGTGTATACTATGTAGAAGGAGGATGTTTTCATTTTAGCTTGAATGCCTCTCATGCAAGGATCCCAGTGACATTGACTGCAACTCATGGCATATTCTGACTCAGGAAAATGGTTAGTCTGACTGGCCCAAATGGGAGTAAGAACATAACAAGTGCTTCTACAAATATTTTCATTGTGAATAACTTTTAATGACTTGAGCCTGCCCTTACTTGCTTATTTCTGCTTTTTCATATGTGTCAATAAAGAAAAAAATAAGATGCCCCTCAAAAGATGAATTGATCAAGAAAATGTGGGGTGTATGTGTGTATGTGTATGTATGTATGTATGTGTGTATATATATATATATATGTATATATATATTAATTCTGTGCCTCCATCAGAAAGAATGACACCACCCCATTTGTTAGGAAATGGAAAGACTTGAGAAAAATTATATTAAGTGAAGTAAGCCAGACCCAAAGAAACATAGGTCCCATGGTTTCCCTTATTTGCAATAATTAGTATATGTCTAGGACAAGCAGAAAAGGTCAAAAGCTATGTACATATAAACATATAAGATGATGCTAAGCAAAATGAACACCAAGATAGAGACACAGTGGTTTTATCTTTTTGCTGTTGTATTTAATGTACTTATAATGTACCATATGATTTTTCTTGTTTCCTTTGCATGTTCTTCTCTATGGTATAGCCCCTGTATTTGATTCCAGGGCCCTGAAACTTGTATATACATTTTTCTAATTTGGGGAAGGGAAGGGAAATAACAAAATGCTGAAATAAGGATATAGGTTGACCCATTGTAACAATAAGATGTACAAGACACTATGTTGAAAATGAACTTTACAACTTGGGGGGGGCAGGAAGGAGATGGGGAGGTGGGGAGGGAGGGGATGGTAGGGGAAAATCAAAGGAGGAGGTAACAACTCTCAATAGGAAATGTACTCATTACCTTACTTTTGTAACTGTAACCCCTCTGTACAGTATTTTTACAATAAAAAGAGAAAAAAGGAATAAGCAAGTTCTTTGTTGAAATATTACTTAGCTCAAATTTTCATGTACATGAAATACTATTCCTTTTATAAATAGGATTATTTTCTCCAAAATTATTTTGACTGTTTATTTGCTTATTCACCGGCAAACATTTATTGAACACTACAGTGTGCCCAGCACTATCTGGGCACTTGGGGTACAGCTGTGAAACAGAAACCAAAAAGATATTCTCTGCTTTGGGGAAAACTTTAATTATTTTTTCCTATCTATTATTGTCTTTTCTTTCCTATCCAAGATTGTCTTTTCTAAGTTTGCTTAGACATGGGGTTCCTATTTTCTTCCAGGAGACTTTTTTTTTGGTCTTGGGGCTTGAAATCTGGGCCTGGGCACTTTCCCTGAGCTCTTCAGCTCAAGACTAGTACTCTACCACTTTGAGCCACAGTGCCACTTCCAGTTTTCTGGTGATTAATTGGAGATAAGAGTCTCGTGGACTTTCCTGCCAGGGCTGGCTTTGAACCACAATCCTCAGATGGCAACCTCCTGAGTAGCTAGGATTACATACGCATGAGCCACCGGCACCCGGCTTTTCAAGGATTTTGATGTAAGGTTTGTTTTGTTGGAATTAAAAAGGTGGTATGTAATGAAAATTCTTATTGGTTTTCAAATTCTGTTTCTCTACAGAGAACAAATTTCTAGAGAGGAATCAGCATGCCTTTTCTCCCAAGGAGAAAAGTTACATGTTAATTACATTCTAAGTTACATGTTAATTACACATATTACTAAAAGTAGCTGTTAGACTGTTTCAAACATACAGTTATAAATTCTTTTCACTGTGGAAATCAAGATTTTTTTAACCTTGACATTGTTAATATTTGGAGTCAGATAATTATTTGTTGTGGAGGGGGAGAGGGAAGTTGTGTGAATTGTATGGTATTTAGCAATGTCCATAGTAGAGAATACTGGGTGCCAATATCACTCCTCCACCCTGCCCTGAGTTGTGACCACCAAAAAATGTCTCCAAACATTGCCTGCTGTGTTCCTGGCTTGGAAGACAGTAAACAGGTTACCCCTAGTTGCAAACTGTTGGCATAAATGTTGATTCTGTCATTCTTACAGCAAATCAGCGACATCCCTAAAAATTTGTCTTAAAAATAAAACAGTTGAGATTAGTTTTCTGTCTGGCCTTGATAAAAGCTCAGCACAACTTTCCTCCATGAAAGAGTTATATAAAATGGGAAAGGTATTTATCAGTCTCATGAAGCAACATCAAAAACAAGTGATGAATTGCCATCAATAAATCATGCTTGGAGATATTGTGCATTTCTTGTTGGAAACTTGCTAAAATTACTCACTTAGCATCAGTTCGAAAGTATGTTGGACACAAAATACTGTAGGTTAATCTCAAATGATTTACAAGGAAATGTGTTCCAGATTTGGTGATCTCAGCTCAAGCAATAAGTAAACTTGCAAACATTCCCATTCTCAGGAACTGACATTCAAGTCAATGGAATTATATAGTGTGAAAGGGCTGTAGAGCGTTGGATCCTGCTTCTGCATCTGAATCCAGCCGAATAGCAGTGCTCAGCCAGTGCCACTAGAAGTCTTGCTGTCCCATGTGGCAGTTCCCACACTGGTTTGCAAGACAGAATAGGAAAACTGGTGTTTTCATTCCCTTCACTGTCTCCAGTTTCTTCCTGTTCTGTGTCATCTTTGCCTTCCCTAATGAGTATGTGCTGTTATACATGATGTCATGTGTTTCTCATTTGATTCTTTGGTCCCAAGTGGACTGCTCTTCAGAATTTTGGCAGTTATATCCACTGCAAGTTCTACTTACCTCCCTGTCACTGTCAGCTTGCAGTCCAACTTGAGGCCGTTTAACCACTCACTGTATACTTCTGAATCTAACTCACTTCTCACATACATGTCAATGGACTTGAACATGCAGAGCACACTGCTGATAGTAGTCACTGGGAGAAGGGTTGGCCTTGGAACAGAGAAAGAAACATGACAGGCCTAGAAATACAGCTGTAAGGAAAATAGGCAGGCCCCTGCTTTCCCAAAACCTGCAGTCCACTGGGTGATGGGACAAGTGGAAAAACCATCTTGAAATATGGCACAAAAGGTGCCATAAAAAGAAATGAGAATGTGGAGCTATGGCTCAAATGGTAGAGCCCTAGCCTTGAGCAAAAGAAGCTCAGTGACGATGCCCAGACCCTGTATTCAAGTCCTAGAACCAGCACCAAAAAAAAATTAAAGGAGAAATGAGGGTGCCATGGGAACCTTTAGGAAAAGCACTATCACCTCTTGGAGAGGGCTGGGATCAGAGAAGGCTTTGCAGGAGAAATGATGGCTTAACTGTGTCACAAGGGCTTCATTGCATATGCAGTCATAAATTTCAATGCATAGCCTACAAGATGAAAATTGAGGGAAGGGTTGGGGTTGAGAGGGATGAGGGAGAATGGTGAAACTACTTTGTTGAATGGCGACTCCTTTGTGCAACTACTTAAAGATTATAATATTTGTTAAAAAGAATGGGGAGAAAGTGTTACTATCCCAAGGCCTAAAGTTGAGTAGAGAAGAAATGAAATCTTTGAAGAACTGTAAAGCTGGGCATTTTTGAATAGTAACGGTGTGGAGAAGAGGAGAAAGGAGCACATAAGGATGCCTGTCAGCATCAGTATTCAGGCTTGAGCAACTGGGTCTTTTGGAGGTTTACTGACATGAGGAGTTCACAAAAAGTAGGCTGGAGAAGGGTAGGATAACAGGGACTCAAGTTTTTAATCCACCACTAGCTCTGGAAAACAGGAAACATTTTTAAATGATTTTGAAGGATATCAAAGACTAATAGAAATGTGATCGGTTAAATTAGCAGCTTTAAATGATTTTGTCATGTTAACCTGCAAATATACTTGAACCTCTTAGATTCTGCTGATTTTATTTTCCATTCAATAGCTACTTCTTAGTTTTGACACTTGCCATAATTTTGTGCATGAAGATGGCTACCCATTCACAAAGACTGAGGAGTTGTTTAGTTGTTCTCTCTGGCATTTGCAACACTCTTGGGCCCTCTGCAGATTTTCCCTGCCATGATGGAAGTTTTTACTCTATTATTTCACAAATTCATTGTATAGCACATATATTATTTTGGTGAATGACCAAAGGGAAACATAGTGAGAATTATTGGCAAGTGTGTGGCATTTGGGGCAGTCTTAGGCAAGTGTATGATGCAGATTTTAGGGGGGGCAGGCCTCATTAAAGGAAACCTGGCTGGGCACCAGTGGCTCACGCCTGTAATCCTAGCTACTTAGGAGGCTGAGATCTGAGGATCTCCGTTCAAAGCCAGCCTGGGCAGGAAAGTCCGTGAAACTCTTATCTCCAATTAACCACCAGAAAACCGGAAGTGGCGCTATAGCTCAAGTGGTAGAGCGCTAGCCTTGAGCTGAAGAGCTGAGGGACCAC